AATGATGTAATTGATGTTGCATGCAATTGCAAGCATGACCATGATATTTTATATTTATTACAACATCTCAAGACTCGGTAGAAACACCGGCCAATGTTAAGAGAGTGGGTGATTGCCAACCACAGCGATAAATAAAAGTAAGGGGAGGGAAAAAGAAAGAGTAGCAAAATGAACAGCAACAACAACTCCGTAAAGAAAGATAATGTCAAATAAAAACAGTGAAAAACACAGAGACGCAAAGGACATGTGGATAATGAGCTATTTATGTCGTAGTAAATAAGGGGCGGCACGGATCTTAAACAGGCGGAGTGAGGTCAGATCCTTAACTTCTCCGGGTAGAGTGAGCCAAACAGAATAAGCAATAAAGAGAGGAGAGTGCAAAAGAGTGGATGAGTTACACTTAGGGAGTAAGAGCGAGTTTCTAGTTCTTAGGGAAGAGAACCAATTAAAACACATGAGATGAGGTGGGCACAACTCAAGCTTAATAGAATAGACAAGAGAAGCCAGGTGTGCACTGCGTCCATGTGATAACGGGGTTGTGTGAGCGATTTTATAAAGGGCGGATGATGAGAGCATGCGGGGTGGACGGAGGAGAATTTTAAGGATTTTTTTGTGGTGTATTTCAAGCTTTGCAGCAGCGGAAGAGGATAATCCAACCCAAGACGTATCGGCATAATCAAATATTGGGCGAAGGTAGGCTAAATAAAAATGAAGCTTGCAAGAAAGTGGGAGGTAGAAGCAGTGGGGGGAGAGAATGCCTATGGATGTACTTGATTTTTTACAGATATAATCGATGTGGGGTACCCAAGAGAGTGCAGAGTCAATCACAATGCCAAGGTGTTTGTGAGAAGACACTATGTCAATTGGATTTGGAAAGTTGGCATGGATGAGGGTTGTGAACTCTGGCTGGGGCGGGAAGAGCATGATCTTTGTTTTTGATAGATTTGGGGACAATCTCCAGGACGACATCCAGGAAAGAACTTCCTGAATGCCAGCACGCAAGTTGTTTTTCAGGCCAGTGAGGGAAGCTGATGAGGTGAGAAGGGTTGTGTCGTCAGCAAACAGAGACGTTCCAGGGAAGACTGCAGGTAAATCGTTTACGTAAATTATAAATAGTAGGGGACCAAGAATTGATCCTTGAGGAACGCCTGACAATACTGGCTCTGCAGCCGAGGATGTGCCAAGCACAGTTACGTACTGATAACGCCCAGAGAGATAAGATTTCAGCCAGGAGATTGGTTTTTTACGTACCCTGAATGCATGCTCGAGCTTGGCCAAAAGTCCTCGATGCCAGACGGTATCAAACGCCTTGGCCAAGTCAAAGAAGCAAATACCAGCAAGCGCTCTGTTATCCCTATGCTGGCACACCTGCTGCACGATGCGGGTCAGTTGAAGGGAGGTGGGGTCGCCTTTACGAAACCCGGCCAGATTGAGCGGGACTCAGAAACGGCGAAACATGTCTGTATAAGTGATCATAAAAGATGCGTTCACATACGTTGGACACGCAGGGAAGAAGAGAGATAGGGCTGTAGTTTGCAGGTTCGTGGCGGGAACCTTTCTTGTATACAGGTATGACTTTCGCTGTTTTCCATGCGGAAGGGAATATGCCCGTGGTAAATGACATGTTGAAAATATGGCACAAAGGGAATGCTATGGATGGTGCCAGGGCCTTGAGGACCCGGTTGGGGATGCCGTCGGGACCAGATGCGTTGCACGTCGGAAGCTTCTTCAGATGACGCCGGACAGTGGTAGTTGTGGTGATGACGGACGTGAAACAAGCTGAGGGCTCCGAGGGAATGATAATAGGGGGAATAGAGAGCAACGGGTCATCTGCCCGAGTCACAGAGGCAAACTGGGCGTTTAATGCGGTAGCTTTGGCCAAAGGGTCAGCCGCCTGCTGAGTCCCTGTGGTGAGTGACCGAATTTCCCGTGATACGTTTCGAATTATTGCTTGTCTCACAAACTGGTGAAGCGATGGACGGTGTCTACCCTGCAAAGTAGTTTGCACTGAGCGGATATAAGCTCTGTACTTTGTCCGCGTCAGGGTTTTCACTATATTTCGCTGCTGTTGGTATACTTGATTGTTTTGTTGTGTTGGGTACTTCTTAAAAATGCTATAGAGATCATATTTCCACTTGATTGCTGTGCGGAGATGGGCATCAACCCAGGGTGGCTGACTGGGCCGTCGGCAGCGGTGAGAATACGGCTGCTTTCCGAATGGCCAGAGGTGCTTCTCAAGGGCACTGTTGAGAATGGAAGAAAAGTGCAAAAGCGCATCATTGACGTTGCTGGCACGCAGATGCCAGCTCCAGTCAATACCAGCGAGGTCTGCATTCACACTATCCCAGGCGGAAGATGGCACGGATTTAAAGTCATATTCCGGCTTTGCAGGAACATTCCTGAAGTGGTATTGGGGTGCAGCAGCGGGATGTCCGTTTGCAGCAAGTTCCTCACGATAAACAGCATCAGTAGGCAGTAGAAAGTGACTGAGGATCTGTGCGTGGTCAGATGCACCAAGAGGAGCAAGAGATGTAACATAGAGTAGTAGGTGAGGATGATCCGTGAGCACAACGTCAATACACGATGTTGAGCCGTGGGGGATAAAGTGTGTGGGGAATGTCACCATTTGCTCAAGGCCAAAACAAGAGAAGAGGTTACGGAACTCCCTTCCAGCACGATCCGTGGTGTCTGTAGGAGACCAGTCAGAGTGGCGAGCATTCAAGTCTCCTGCAAGTACAATCGCAGAATTGGGGAGGCTAATATTGGACAGACAGTCCTCTAGGAGGTCACTAAATGCCTGGACTTGGGAGATGCTGTCTCCAGGGGGTCTGTAAACAGAGCAGATGATGAGGGGGAGTGAGGGAAGTATCGATGTGTTGGACAGTGGCCACACCTTTTATCGTTCTGGAGGCACTTCGTCCAGAGCTGGAGTAGGAATTCTCGTCAATAAAAATATTGTAAGAAATATCGATTCGTACCAATTCTATTCGAACCGAGTAGTTTCGCTACCGATACTGCTAACTTGAAGTCGTAACAGTAGAGGTGTATCAGTCATCTGCTGCTACGCTCCTACCCTACAACGTTCTACAGCTAACCCTGTTGAGACCGATGAATTTTATTCCTTGCTGAGCAAAGCTGTTGGAAATGCCAATCGTCGTGACGTCTTGTGTACTGGGTGACATGAATGCCAAGGTAGGCAGTTGGCCAGCTGGCTCATCGAACCCAGTAGGAATGTACTCAAAACACAGAATGAGTAATGACAACGGAAGCCGTCTAATTGAATTTTGTGAGACGCATCACCTGCTACTAGCTAACACAATGTTCAAGCACCGCATGCAGCATCGTGCAACGTGGTTTGCTGATGGCTTGTGTCATAACGATGGGAATCAAGTCAGGAACATGATCGATTTTATCATGGTACGGAAATCGGACGTGTCAATTGTCACTAACGCGCGATCATATGGAGGCTTAATACCCCGATCTGATCATCATTCAGTAATTGCAGATGTTCGGCTTTCTTTCAAGAAATCGAACAATGCTCCCAAAGCCAACCACCTATGCTTTGTAACATATAATCGGCCTTCTGCCGACACGCAGAAACAATATCAACGTATTCTGTCTGAGTCACTACCCGTCGTACAGTCACCACCACCGTCATCGCAGGGAGAAATTGATACTCTATGGAACAGTTTTGTGTCGACTGTACATGGTGCCGCATGTACGTCTTTTGGCATTCAGCCTCGGCGTGCTAAGCCAACTCGGAGCACAAATCCAGCTATAAAACAATTATCCCAAGACCAAAAAGATCTCCACATACCCATCCATGCTGAGCCAGATCCTGCCAGAAGAAAAGTTCTAAAAGAAGAGCGCAACAGTATTCAGCACAAAATCAGAAAAATACTGAGGCAGGATGGAGACAACTTCTGGCAAAGGCAGGCAGAAGCTACTGATGCTTTACGACCTGACCCACGCTCCTATTACAATGCAATCCGGAATCTGCACCAAATGAAGTCGAACACCAACACTCCTCCTGTTCGGCTGGCAGACGATGATGGCAATATCATGACAAGCATTCAATGGAATCTCGACACATTTAGCAAATACTTCTAGTCAATATTTCATCGCCCTCACCTACCCTGTGATTTCCGTGGCTCGCAAGATATCAATGATGAGGAATTGCCGTTTATCACCCAAGAAGTCACTTCAAATCACACCGAACACCGAAGGCAACAAACGCATGGGACACTCACTTCCCTCCCATACCTGCCTTGCACGGAGTTGTATCATTATACAAACACCCTTCTCGAACGCATAACACATTGATACAACACCTAAAGCAGGTATCACAAGTCAACTTTGCCCAGCAGACTATGAACGTGACAGACGATATCACCACGCGGTCAGCCCACCATCCTAAGTGCCCGTGAATAGTGATCAAGCTCATGCTCTAAGCCTCAGAACCGTGACAGTCATGTAGTTCCCACTTTCCGTAAATACAGTTTCATGATCCACCCTACATCACACATACACGATGGCAACGCTTGGAAAGCAGGATAAGGCGCCAAAGAGTTTAAACAGAATTTGGCCGCGTGTCTCCGAATCGCCCCTCCCCTGCACGGGTTATCCGGCTAGCTGGCCTGGGGCTGGTAGGTCCAACAACAACACATACTTATCTCAATATGCAGCCATTGGGTCGTGTACATGCTAATGTACAAGTTCCATACTCTCTTCTCCAGCAGGGGTTCCTGCACGCCACTCTATCAGCAAGCCGTGTCGCTCTACCTACCTACCGTTATTCTGCTGTCCCGGCGCTCGACATGTTTCCGAAGCACGCTATCTCTATGGTTGCCGTGCTACGCTACAGTTACCCGGCAATAAATAGGTACGCTACCCCACGCATCCTCTTCAGAATGCAATTTTCACAAGGTAACTTACATTCTCTGTTGTTGTGCTCGTGACAGCAGAGGTGCATTGCTTACAGTTGGTGTGTTGTGTGCGGTCCCTTATTCTATATTCCGCCGACCAGCTCAAGAAGACAGACTTCTATAGTGTGTCAGATTGACAAGCATGGTAAGAAATAATAATTCTAATTTATCTTCGCACTGCCTGTCATGTTCATATTATTCTTGTGAGGGGCAATAACTATCTGTTTCGTATTGTGCCTACATAAACGCACACACATACACGAAACCAGTCGCCCTGAGATGCTTGTCAACCATGTAGTGCTTTGACGATGATGTCTTGGTCCAATCTGCTCCTGCCAAACGGGGAAGGTGGTTGGTAGCAAGTGTAGATTCGTGAGTGGCCTAGCGCGCGGGCCATCTCAGCACTACACACACATGCTCTGTGAGTACATGGACCAGGGATGGTGGCGCTTGGTAAAGAAACCTGCAGCATGTTCACCATCAGATAATAATAATTGTAATACGGCTGAGTGGAAATGAAAACTGTTCCTGTTCAAAATTATTCTCAGAACCTGGTACCATGGTTCACGCGAAAAATCACACAAACTTCATGTTTTCTGAACGCATCTACACATTGTTTCCAGGCCAAGGATGTTCATCAAAGCGGCAGACATTATTTTTGTAATTTTGCTGCGTTTGTGCTACAGGCTGGATCAGTTGTTATGTCCGTGCTTGCACTGGCTTCTGTCCTCATCCTCCTTTTCACCTCGGAGAGCCGCGGACAAGAACGTAAGTCACGACCATCTAATGTGTGCATGCCTGCGTACATAGAAGTGCTTGTGCCGATCAAAAACTCCACTAGAGCTTTGAGCGGCGCTCGACCTTTTTTTGCTCGGCAATTTATACAGATCGATTGGGTGTGTGGAAGGGAGCTAGCTAGGTTCATGATTTGATCATTTCACGCTATTTCGACTTAGTAGCTGTGTTATATGCATAGAAGTACAAGACTTAGTAGCTGTGTTATATGCATAGAAGTACAAGACTTAGTAGCTGTGTTATATGCATAGAAGTACAAGACTAAGTAGCGTACAGTTGAGATTTGATCTTACGAAGACTAGCTTGTGTTGAACAGTATACTAGTAGCAGCTCTGTGCCGTGCCGTGATAGAGATCTTGCGTTTTTTCTGCGTGGAAAAGGGGGGGGGGAGTGGAAACGTTTTAGTTGCTTTAGGCGATATGCGATGTATAATGTAGCTGAAATTCGATCTACAGCCGATTTTTCGTCGAAACTATCGGTGTTGCGTCGTGCCTTTGAAGGGGTGCAGGGTTCAATTGCTCGCAATTATGACGTCCAGGAAAGACTTGGGATGGTAGTGAGGCAGACTTGCCACTTTTGCGAAGTGCACGTCACGTCAAGTGTGATTGTGTGGTTTCTTGCGTGTCTGAAGAGATGAGCATTCCTAGTGCAAGTAGGAAACCCGTGGTCGCATGGCTTCATATCCGTGAAAAAGCCAACTCTAGTTCATGGCATGCGCGCATATCACAATCGACTGTGCAGAGCACGTAATAGGAGTACCTAGTACAGTTGCGCTCGGTGAAATCCGGCCCGAAGTGCAAAGCCGGCGCCGCGAAGCCAGCTCCCATTACATCACTGGCGATTTGTGTGTATGAACTCAACTGTACGCACCTCGTGTAAAAGTTCGGAGTGCACGTGTTGCATGCTAAAAACAGTTCAAAATTTCTTTCATTCACTTCACTCAAGCACAGCAGGATCTTCTCGATAGCGGAGTACCCAACATCCTGTTTCAACCTCCCTGCTCGCCGGACATGAATCCAAACGAGAATGTGTGGGCTCTTCTCAAGAAGAGAATAATTCCACATCGCTGCGAGAATGCTGACCAGCTGGTGCAGGCACTGCACCTGGCGTGGGACTCGTTGGGTCCTGACACAGTTTCCCCATACGTGGAGTCGTGGAGTCAATGTCACGTCGTGTTGAAGCCCTAATCGAAGCTGATGGTGGCCACACAAAATATTGAAGCCCTGCTGTTCTGTGTATGAAATAAACTGCTTCGAAACGATCTCCGTCTTCTTTACTTGTGCTGAACTGAAATGAATGTTACACTTGTCTTTGTTTGGCGCGGTTTTTACACTTTGGTGTAAGCATGCATGCGTATGAGTACAGCACATGCACAGTTCATACGGCACACGCGCACACTAGCACTTGTACAACTTTGAGGGCGTCAAGGGCCGCATCAGTACTGGGCGCCAGTTATGCACTTCGGGCCGGATTTCACCGAGCGCAACTGTACTACTGGGCCGTGGTCGCATGGCTTCATATCCGTGAAAAAGCCAACTCTAGTTCATGGCATGCGCGCATATCACAATCGACTGTGCAGAGCACGTAATAGGAGTACCTAGTACTAGTAGGGTGTTCAGTCACGTGACATGTGATTTCTTATTCTTTGGATTTTGGCACCAAATTTTTTTTAATCGAAAGCTCTAGGTTTCAGGAGGATCTTGGTGAAGTTTCAGCGAAAAACAAGCAAAAGTGGCCGCGCAGTGGCCCGTTGAAGTTTTCGCCCATTCACACTATGCCACGTGATGAGGCTCAAACCTTAGTACTAGTACTACTAAGGTTTGAGCCTCATCACGTGACTAAGCACCACCAGACCCCAGAGCTCCGGCATGATGCCTCGTGCTGCTAGATTCATTGTGCCCATGGTAACGCTAAACTGATTGGTCGTCCCAATAGTGATCAATGACATAACATAACATGTACATAACATGTACATGTATGTGTAGAATTCAATACCGCGTTGCGTCATAGTTTAGCCATGCAGAGATTTCGCTAAAACGAAGTCATGAAGCAAGTGTTCTTAGCTAAATACTAGTCCGGCCACCCTTTACTGGGAGGTGAGCGGAAGGGATAGATCGATAAATACATGTAGATAGATAGGTAGAGAGAGAGAGAGAGAGAGAGAGAGAGAGAGAGAGAAAGAGAGAGAGAGAGAGAGAGAGAGAGAGAGAGAGAGAAAGAGAGAGACAGACAGAGAGAGACAGACAGAGAGAGAGAGAGACATAGAGAGAGAGAGAGAGAGAGAGAGAGAGAGAGAGAGAGAGAGAGAGAGAGAGAGAGAGAGAGAGAGAGAGAGAGAGAGAGAGAGAGAGAGAGAGAGAGAGAGAGAGAGAGAGAGAGAGAGAGAGAGAGATAAACAGATATAGAGAGTGAGGCACAAATATAGAGACAGCGGACCGAGCCAGAGAGAGAGAGAGATAGTGAGTACTAAGTGGAACACTTCGCTGACGGTTCTGGCCCCAGCTAAACTCCTTACATGGACATGATCTGAACTAGATGCTGTAAAAATGATATAGATTATATCAGATTGGCACTTCTGGGATATTGATTTTTGTCTTGAAGGTACCATTATTGCATTAATCTTAATCCAGAATTGTCAGGTTTGAGCCAGCGATTGAATATTCTGTGTCAATAAGGAATCAGGGACAGAAAGCCTTGCTTCAGGGAAATATTTTGTCCCAAGAACAGATATTATAGTATCTTTGTTGGAGAAAGCTTCTTCCACGAGCAAGCTTAGCCCAGTCACAATCATCACCACGCACTATTGAATAGTTTAACCCAACATAACCGTAACAAAGAACCCTTATCAGCACAATGGCATACGTCTGCACTAACTACATGTATTTGCGTGAGGGTTAACGTTGGATTTGTTGGCATGCCTCTTGAGGATAAAGGATTACCTGCATGCTCATTCAAACGGACGTGATCTATCGTCAATAGTCCAAAGTTATAGTTATCGTTAAGGCCGTGAACTGTAGGTTGGTCATCGTAACTACCCGTGAACTGTAGGCTCCTCGTCGTAACTGCTACCATTAGTACAATCGTAAACAGGATAATGGTTAGACCACAGGGGGCTTGGAGAAACCGTACCACAGCCAGATCCCCGCCAGTTCAGGATAGCACAGCATTCTCACTTGACATGAGACGTTGACTTGTTTCTGTAGACTAGTGCACTGGCATCGATTGGTACAGCTGATGATGACTAGTCCAGGGTAGTGACTCTGTGATCTCTGTGATCGCGATCCTCTAGACTCCTCTGCTTGGCGTCAGACATGCGAGACAACTTCATGATGGACAACGTGATTCCGGAAAGCACTGGGCCGGGTAGCTAATTGCCTTTTTCGCCAGATTTCAAACTGGCCCCACCACAGACCAGTGACAAAGTGTAATGATAAGCGTGACAAATGGTCCATTGGTTTGATTGCGCCTTGACTGCCTGCATCACAAGCCGTGAGCGTGACAGCATAGTCCTTGCCCTTGACGTCGGCGTATTCGATGCAGCATTAATACTTATGGAGCCTGGTCTGTCGGGCAGAATCGTTAGATCGGTAATTGTTATAGGCATTGTGCAAAGCGTGCGTGTCCGCTTTGGTCCGTAACTTTGTTTCTGCAAGTTCAAAGCGACTAGCTAGCACGATCTTGACCACTTGTTTGCCAGTAGTCTTCTCAGGCAGTGTGCTGGTATCCACTTAACGTACTACACCAGAAGTACAGTTCTGACAAGAGTGAATGTTTGCCTAGATGACGGTGTGCATTTTAGTACTTTGAACGCGGCGGGATCGAGCGGGGCTTAGAAAATGAAGCAGATCAGCGAGCCGCATCCACCCAGAGCAGAGTTCATCCATGTCGAAGAGGAATGGCACCCATGCGAGCGAGCAGTATCCCTCCGTGTATTATTTATTTATTTATTTATTTATTTCTGCACCTCGTGGCATGTCAAGACAGCCAATTGAATTGAGGAGAGGGTGAGACCAACCACGGAAGAAGAGAAAAAAAGAAAATTAAGAGCACGTACACAAAATGGGAAGGGATTAGCAACTTACAAAGCAATGGGATGCTCAGCGAGCTATGCAGCGGAAGTGGTGACTGTGACTTTGTTTACTGGGAGATACTGAAGTGCTGTCTGACGAGGGTACGGAATTTGGGCATATCTGGAGCTTGTCTAACACTGGGAGGCAGTTGGAGCCACGTGGAGTAGGAGGAAAAGAAAGGGGAATTTACGAATAGGGTAGACCTAGCTAGGGGGAGACGAACGCAGCTTCGGGTGGTGCCACCTGAATTGAACCAATTAAGGGACTGTAAATGAGCAGGGTGCTGGTCAAGGAAAATTGAATGCGCCAGGGTGCACTTGGAAGCATCAAGGTAATGTTGCAGAGTGGTAGTGGATGCAGCAGCATACAAGTCTAGATTTGAGGTATAGGTAAGGTGTCGCGGACTGGAACGATAACATTCATGGTATTCTTAGGACAAAACCTGTGCGAATAAGAGGTGGGATATTTGGGGTATGCGGTAACGGTAGAGATAACCAGCCCATAGTGGATTCTGCGGATAGTGGTAAGATATGTTAGAGACCTCCTGTTTTACAGAGCTCGTCCCCCTGCGGATACCAGGTATACCACCTAGATAACTATTACATGTATGAGAGGGGGAGAGTGATGAGAATTGGACGATTACCGGAGATGCGATGACACCTAATGAAAAATAGGTCGGATGTGTGTTACAGCAGCATGTATCATAGGAACAGTGTCTTAGCAGTACAAGGTCAGTAAGCTACTTGTCCTTCCATAGCTGCTGGCACCATCAATATATCACCCGTTATGAGACCTCTGGTTTCATTCCACGTGACGTAGAGTAGCGAAGACTGCGTTGTGTGAGACAATGCAATGGCCATTGTCTCTGCTGCTGATTTCGGGGCTTCACAGGATTGTGCTGTA